AGCCCCTCCAGAGCCTCCCTGCTGAAGGCAACAGTGGCCCCATCCATGCCCAATGGCGCCCCTCAACGCCGTTCTAAAGATCACAGTCGCCCCATCAATCCGAGGTCGCTGGCGCCCCTCAAGAGCCACTGGCGCCTACCTGAACCGGGGCTTCAGTCGGCCCATCCTTGATCAATGGCGCCCCTCTGAAACCACTGATGCTCCTCTGAAAATCCCAGTCGGACCATGCGAGATCAATGGCGCCCCTCCAGAGCGTCCGACGCCCTACTGAAGGCAGCAGTGACCCCATCCAAGCATTGCACCCCTCTAGAGCACCCGGTGCCCTTCTGAAGATCACATTCGCCCTATCCGAGGTCGTTGACGCCCTCCAGTAGTCACTGACGCGAAACTGAATGGATACTTCGGTCGCCCCGCCCCATTCAAGATTGATAGCGCCCCCCCCCCCCCGAAACCACTGACACTAGGCAATTATTTGACAATGGGGCTTCTCATCGACACCAAGGGCCCTTTTCAAGATGCAGCAGCTAGGCGGCGCCGAGCTGGGCTCGGATGTGCCAAGCGTTCCTTATTAGGCAGCCTTAAGTAAGTGCCACCCTCGTTGCGATACCGCCCCTCAACGCGACGCTACCCCTTCACCGTACAATGCCATGGCCCTCAATGCAAGTGGCGCCCCTCAGCGCTGTGCCGCCCATTATTGCGATGCCGACAGCGCCTAGCAGTGCGGTGCCGCCCCCAGCGTAAGCGTTTTTTTATTGAACCTACTGGGGGTGTTTGAACACCCACTTCTAACTCAGCTTGTGGGCCACGTCGAGACACGGAGTAGGCGGCGTTCGAAAGAGCGTCAAAAACTATTACAAAACTACTTAGATCATTTTAAGGTTAGGTCGAACTGGTCGAAGGTCAGGTCACCAGCGACAACCGAAAATCAAATTTCGCCGATGTTGACATTTTTCGACAAAGCGGTGCATAAGTCAGGATTCAGAAAGAGATTGAGCTACAGCGCCGCAGCAAAGCGCATATTCGATAGCTCTTTTTATGCTCTGTCTTATTGATTATCTCAGATTTGACCTAAGGTAAACGTTTTAGCCTCAAAATATACGTTTTCGCGGAGGACGTTTATCTGTAATACCTTTTGACTCAGACCTGCACGAGATTAGTTCAACCAGCATCGTGTTCCATTTTTCGAGACAGACGAGTCAAATGAACTAGAATTTGACATTAAAAGGGCATTTGAGAATTTGACCTAAGGTAAAGGTCATAACCTAACCGGTAAAGGTCATATTGCATATTAGTCGATCCATATTTTCGAGAAGGAAAATAATTATATAGGGTGTTTCATTGCTCTACCATATCTCTATCAAAAGTTATTGTCCAAAATCTACTGGAGACCTTTCATGACCTGAGATGACCTCAGTAACATAAAAGTGGTCACATCACGAGTGACGTTTACCGATTAAATGTGTCCTATTTACCTGCATCCCGATGGTTGAGGTTGTTTTTGTTCAGAAGAAGAGCATTTCAATTGTCTCCCATTAATCCGCGCCGTGCTGGAGGGGGGGGGGGGTTACGCCCCCCTTAGGTTTTTCTCGCGAATATCTCAAAAAAACGGCGTCGCGCAGCGCCTGCGTTGTCTTTGGTACACCTGTTCATACATCTTTTCCACACAGCTTGTTAAATTTCAGATGAGGCTCGTTCAAGGTCAGGTCACTAGGGCACGTCAAGTGACCTTACCTTAAAAAAAATAAAAGACCCGCTATAGCTACACCGACTGAACGATCACTTTTGAAACTTTCAGAGATTGATAAGACTAACAATATGCATAAAATGTTCATCTCGGACTTTTTATTTCTGTGACCTAAGGTCAGGTCAATTTTGGGACCTCAAGTCAGTGGGAGAAAAGTGAAATGCGCCTCTTTTGGACGAATGTCGTTTAAAACCCTCTTAAACATCGGTTCATAGGTAAACATAACACACTTAATCGTAAAAATGCACCTGTGTCCTTTTATGTGCCCTTGAGGTCATCTCAGGTCATAAACGGTTACCTATTTTATCACCATAAACGTTTTTCTGGCTTCAACTTTTGATAGAGACGTGCTAGAGCGGTGAAAACACGTCAGATGTGGTCAGCTCGACGATACGGATCGACTGATCTGCAGAATGACCCTTTCCGGTCAGGTCATGACCTTGACCTGCGGTCAAATTTTTAAAATAACCTTTAAAGGTCAACGTATAGTTCATTCGACGCGTCTCGACGAAAGGAACACGAGGCAGGCAAAATAAATATCGTCACTGTCTTGAACCAAATGTTATTGCAGAAAAACGCTTTTCATAAAAACTGTTATTTTTGGAATTTTTGCCCTCTGGAGGCTAAACCATTGGCCTGAGATCAAATCCGAGAGCAATATTCAGAAAAGACTGTAAAAGGGCTATCGAATGCGCTTTTCCGCGGCGCTGTAGCTCTATTGGTTCCCGAGTTAGCCGTTGGCAGTTTCCAAAATTGTTGAAATGGACTAAATTTTACCTTTGATGACCTCTGGTGACCTGACCTTTGACCTGACCTAAAAATTGAAACGAAGTCTTTCCGTCATTATTTTTGACGCTCTTTCGATTTTCCCTTACCGCGTGTCACTATACGTGGCCCAGGAGCCGAGTTAGAGGGGGGACGTGAAAACACCCCCCCCCCCCCAGCACGACACGGAAAGCACAAGCCACCAGCACGGCGCGGGTTAACTTATAGGTAATCGGTAACTTATAGGTACTTATAGAGAGGTTGCAAAATTGACCTGGCCCTCAATGAAGATATTTTGTCTGAGGATTACGCAAGGCGAATGTTCGGTGAGATCAGCAGGTTTCTATGGCACTTATTCAAAGTCGACCATGCACACTCACATCATCAAAAGTCGTCTTCTATACTACGCCGGCCGAAGACATTCTTAACCTTCGTGCCACTATATGGGACAGTTTCACGCCTCACCCATCTGGCACTCATGCAGTCATGAGTGTCTGAGATTCTAAGCACGGCCACCCCGGTCGACCAGAGGCTGCAGTCCACAGGTCACTTTGGTTCAGTGAGTGAACCTGTATGCTTTTTTTTGCAAAGAATAAAGATTGTGCCTATCGATCAACGCATGTTTTACCGTTTCGAATTCGAATGGGTGTGTATTTTGGGAATAACATGTCCGTAGCCTGAGCTCGTTTCCTATATCGTGCTAAATATGCATAAAGATAAAGGCTTTTGATAAAAAACACTGGGCTGCAAATTGCATTAATTGGATTTTATGAAAAATCAGCGAAACCTGGTTCTGATACTCGTGCCGGTTCCGTAGTAACACCTAGTAAAGCATGCATGAATATATGACGTTAGATTTTAGACTGACCCCCTGTCACTAGCTCACAATGGCGCCCCTCTCAAGGGAAAAAGTCGCCCCCTCGAGCACCATGGCCCCCCCTTTCGCTGATTTCTGGCTACGCCACTGGATAGGGGTAGGGGTAGGATAGGGGTAGGGAGGTGTAGGAGTAGGATAAGGGTAGAGCAGGAGCAGGGTAGGGTAGAGTATAAGGAGCAGGGTACGGGTAGGGTTGAGTTCAATAACGGTCTAACATACAAAAGGCTCGAACACCCCGCATCCATCACCATCTTACTCTATAAGTTCAATAAAAACATGCGCATCTACTGAAATAATACAAATCAAAATAAACGTTTCTATACCCAGGCTAATGCATCCGTAAAGCAAATCTTATCAAAAAAATATAGTCATCGCGAAAACCTGTAGGTACTTTGGTAGTATGTAGTTGGTCAGAAAATTCGATAATGCTCGAAGATAGCAATTGCAGGTTCCAGTCATGTTTAGCCGTCGGAAAGAGGGTTTCTGATTTTCAGAGCAAACCTGTAACTTTCGTACTCTCCTTAAGCTGTTGCAACTTTTCAAACATTAAAAATGTATCCGATGTGAATGGACTGCTTGAAGAAGTCCTAGTCCGCGTTAAGCAATGAGGTGCTGCGAACACCCAGACCTCTACCGTCCGGTATACAATTTCAGTAACGTGGCAATGATACATATATTGATGTGAAAAACTAGCGCTCATAATAATTTTCCCCAAGTGTCAGCGGGTCGTCCGGAGCCCTGGACGGGCACACACCTGCACAGAGCTGCGGAGGCACGTGGGCGTACCAGGTCGGGCCGCCCCGGCCCGCTCGCGCTGTGGACGCCGGTCGAGTGAACAAAGGTGGGCCTTGAGAGGACCGCTGGTAAGCCTGATAGAATCCTTCAGAGCGAGGCAGGCTCGGAGCTGTCTCCCGAGCCGGGGCAGATCGAGGTCCGAGGACCTGACAGGGTTTTTCAATTGGACAATACGGCGCCACTCTGCTCCCCATTCACTGGTGAAACGGAGCTGGTCGGCAAACACGGGCCAGAGAGAAGCGGATCGCGATCGGCTGCCTCAATCGGCCTTCACCGGGAATTTCATGTGTCGTAACTTATCCAATTTCGGGGGTAAAGTGCTGTCTATTTTGTACATACTCGTATATTGCTTATTTACTGTATTTGTTTCGCTCAAAATTATCCGCATCTTCCCGAAAATCAAATCTGATGGGTTAGCAGACGCCTTGCATACCGGCATTTAATGCAGGTATTGGACAGCTAAGAAGTTTGGTAAAGTCAGTGAGGCCAACATTGCTCTGCTAAACATTTTGTCAACAATTTCTTGTGGAAGGTTAACTATCTATTCCTTCAAAGGTTCATGTATCGTGAAACAAACACCTTTACTTAGTATGAAGATTTAGGGGTATTTTACAATCTTATAACCATACCATGTAACATTATCTCAAGTTCTCTGTAATTCGTTTTTGGACATAGTTTACTCTTAGGTGTTGTTTTTATCCGCTGGGACTGAGAGCGTGAGATGATGTTTTTCGTACTCCAGCGTAGATGGGTAGCCATACGGCTGCCACGGTTGACAGTGATGACATCAGCCATCTTTTGCAAGCTCGTTAAAGATTTAGGCTATACGGGGATTTGAACCCCGGACCTTTGGATTAGCGCTCCAATGCTCTACCCCTGAGCTATATAGACCAAGTGCTTTAACGAGCTTTCTGCCAATTTTTATGCGGATCATTCTTAGGTGTTGTTTTTATCCGCTGGGACTGATAGCGTGAGATGATGTTTTTCGTACTCCAGCGTAGATGGGTAGCCATACGGCTGCCACGGTTGACAGTGATGACAACAGCCATCTTTTGCCATCTTTTGCCAGCCACGGTTGTCATCACTGTCAACCGTGGCAGCCGTATGGCTACCCATCTACGCTGGAGTACGAAAAACATCATCTCACGCTCTCAGTCCCAGCGGATAAAAACAACACCTAAGAATGATCCGCATAGAACTTGGCAGAAAGCTCGTTAAAGTACTTGGTCTATATAGCTCAGAGGTAGAGCATTGGAGCGCTAATCCAAAGCTCCGGGGTTCGAATCCCCGTATAACCCAAATCTTTAACGAGCTTGCAAAAGATGGCTGATGTCATCACTGTCAACCGTGGCAGCCGTATGGCTACCCATCTACGCTGGAGTACGAAAAACATCATCTCACGGACATAGTTTACTCTGCATTGCATTTGTTCTTTTATCCACAATATGTAATTAAATGGTGTACCTTTCCTTTTTTACCGCTAACAATAACGCCGCATTGACTGGACCGGCGGCGCTGAAACTTTGGCTTTCGGTAAGAGGCCACCGGCCAATAATGCCTTTATATTGTCCAGTATCAGGACTATCCTGTTAACCCGCGCCCCAGTGGCGGTCTCAGCCAACTTCGCCCTAGTGGGGGGGGGGGGCATATGTTACCACCCACCTCTAACTCAAAAACTAAGAGGGCTAGAAAGACGCAGTAAAAAGCAGTCGATAGCTCTCAATGCGTACGTTTGAAAGTATTTCGGTCATTTTTTACCTTAGAGCAATATTGGGGTCACCAGAGGTCATCAAAGGTCAACATTTGCCAATTGTCATTATATTTTTCAGAAAACATGCCGCTATCTCAGGAACTATGGTAGCTAGAAAAACGCATGGAAAAGCAATCGATAGCTTTTGAACTCTTCTTTTGAAAAGGTCATTATCAATATTAACCTCAGGTCAACGGTTTAGCCTCCAGAGGGCAAAAACTCCAAAAATAGCTGTTTTTTACGAGAAGTGTTTTTCGACAATAACTTTCGACTACAAAAAGCCACGACATTTCTATTGCCAGAATCGTGTTCCCCTCGCCGAGACGCGTCGAATGAACTATAATTTGACCTTGAAAGGTCAACTTGAAAATTTGACCTCAGGTCAAGGTCATGACCTGACCGGAAAGGGTCATGTTGCATATCAGTCGATGCGTCTCAACAAGACAAACACAATGAGACCATCCGCAGCGTTCTATCTCTTTCCAATCGTGAGTTATTGGCAAAAAACGGTTTGTAACCTCAAATGACCCCGGATGACCTTTCTAGAGGCTATCAGCAAAAATGACACCTTGGTCATCACGAGTGGACTAAATCATTGTGATTCTGAAATATTTGGACTGTTCCTATGCGTACACACGGATCTAGAGGCATTTTCATTTTTCTCCATTGACTTGTAATGGAAAGGTCACGCCACTGACCTGACCTTAGGTCACGGATATAAAAAATCCGACATATATGTACAAATTGTAGTCGCCCATAACAGCATGCAATCCACCAAGTTTAAAACCTTTCTGACAAACACTGCAGGCTGGGCATGATTGCAAACTTTTTTAGGCTTGGTCAGTTAACTTGACCTGGTGACCTGACCTGACATGACCTGGGGTCAAAAATTTCACACATTGTCCAAAATTGATGTACCAAAAGCTACTCCAAGCGGCGCGGCGCTACGCGCCGCGGTTTTTTATTCACACGCAAAAAACGCGACAGGGTGGTAACATATGCCCCCCCCCCCCCCACTGGGGCGAAGGTTAATGCACGTGCACACGTGCATGGGGCTGCTTCTACGTCTTGAAAACAGTTGAATTCATTGCTCGGGAAGCTAGGCAAGGAAGCCGCTGGGCATGTACCGGTTATAAGGGTGGCCTGGACAAGTCTATTGGCCCTCCTTTTGCATTGCCGGCGGATAGCCGTAATGGCTAGTTTGTGCCGTGGTGGTGTGCTGCCACAGCACCGATATGGTATAGTGTCCGCGGCCGCCGCGCCGCGCAGGTTGGCCGTGTCGTGCTCTCTGAACACACACGCCGTGCCATCTAGCGACAGGTCCGCCTACTAACAGACACTGCATGCAGTAGGCCGGCCGGCCGCCAGGAGCGCTAGAAATGCCGAAAAATGAAACGTGCTCAGGGTGCAAAAAATTAATACCCACAGACTCGAAATTGATCATAGGATACGATGCCGTGCCGTGAATAAGTATGAGACCGATGTCACGGCCAATATTCAGCTCCGAACACAGTCTAACTGACGGTTAGGGAATGAAGCGGCTATCTGAACGATTTCGACTAGATTTTGAATTGCTCTTTTCTCATGAATGAACATCTTATTGGTGAAAATAAACGACTGCACATGATGCACACGGTTATTGTGATCATGTTCATAACCAATTTCATTGGGCTCACTCATCTGATTGCACTCTAAATAGTGAGTTTGCAACATGTTGCAGACATCTACATAAGCTTATATTCAATTAGACTTATATAAAAACGTTATTTTTGGCACCTAATTCTGACGGCATAATAAGATTGGGCAAGTGTTGTACTTTCGAACCGTTGTCGATTTTTTCTGCTTTTCGCTGCTAGTTTAGGAGCTATACTGGCATTTGCTGGGGTATTTTTATACCATCTGGTTGGGAGAGGGGTAGTGAACGTCCTTAGCCTATAACTTGCGAACAAATGGTCGCAGCGAGATGCGCATGGCAGCGATCGAAAGGTCTCAACAAGATGTGTTCGATTAGCATTTAAAACTTGTTTTAACCCGGCATTTGCTGGGGTATTTTCATAACACCACTTGCTGGGGGGGGGGGGGGCCGTCAGACGTCCCCAGCCCATAACTCGAGAACGGTTAGTCGCAGCGGGACAGGCGAGGCGGCAAACGAAAGCTCTAAACAAGACGCATCTGATGAATACTTAACCCGCGCCCCACTGGGGGGGGGGCTATTTATAGCCCCCCCTCCAGTTTTTCTGCAATAACTTCCAAACCGCTTGACGTATCGACGCCAAACTTTCAGTACCTTCGGCTGCATCAATTTGACACCTTGTGTTAAAATTTGAACTTCGTAGCTACCATAGGTCGGCCGGAAATGACGTCAGAGTGACGTCATGTTCGGCCGATTTCGACGCAAAACATTGAACTACGGCAATCGCTCCCAAGGGCTCAGTTTTTAAGCTAGATCCAATTTCTTTGCATGAGAGGACTCAGAATAGACTGCGCTATCAAACTGCTATCTCGGATTTTCGAAATTTTGAAAATTTCGAAAATTTTACATAATAAAATTCAAAATTTACATTTTTACATTTTTTTCAAAAAGTTTTTGACTTTTCGAAAAAAACCGGAATATATGTGATAGAACGCGTTATTATGACTAACTCTAGCAAGTTTTAACTAAATATCTTCAAAAATAGCCAAGTTATACGCATTATTGCAAAAAATTCACAAATACTAATTTTTCAAATCAATTTTTCACCACGTATTTGACAACGTACGCTAATATAAATAGCACCATCGTGTTCCTGAGCTCAAACTGCATCCAATAGATACCTTTTCTGTTGAAAAATTATAACTTCAAAATTTGACCTTTTTTGACCTGAAAGTGACCTGACCTAAGCTAAATTCGACTCAAAATGACCTCGAATGACACAGACGACATCAAATTCGAAATCTTTGGCCTAAATGGACCATAAAACATGTGTCACGTGACCGACGCATGACATAATATTTTCGTGACCTGTGATGACCTGACCTTGACCTGAAAATCAAAGTACAAGTTTGGTACCCTCAGGGTATCTAGAGCATCTGTTCACGAGTGTGTGAACCAAAAATGAGCCTGATCTGACTTTTAAGACGGCGGCCAGAGCCCAAAACGTGAAGAAGCCAAAATGCTGATAATTTTTACTTTGACCTGACCTGTGACGTCATCGGTGACCTCGAGGTCAATGAAATTAGGTTTCGCTCGACAGTTTTTCCGGGGCTATCAGACGCCGTTTGAATTTTGACGATCGGCCCAGTAGTTTCGGAGTTAGGTGGGGGGGCTATGAATAGCCCCCCCCCAGTAGGGCGTGTTATACGCAGACCCCAGTGGGGCGCGGGTTAAAATTGGTTCTCAGGTCAAACTTGAGGTCAAGGTCAGGTCAAAGGTAAAAAATAGGGGTTTTCATTTTGGGCCCCAGAGACCGAACTACCGACAGCAGCGAGCTCAAAATTTCTTGGCATGTGCCCAAAAGATGTAAGAAAAGTCTCATTGTGTCTAAAACGAATTGGAGCACAGGTCAAGGTCAAGGTCAGGTCACCAAAGGTCACACAAAGTCGAATTTTCAAAATAACATTTAAATACCGTGTGACACATGTTTTTGGGGTAGTTTTGGACGTAGAACACGATGGTGGCAAGAATTTGGAGATTTGACCCCCGCAAAATGGTGGAAAAGTGAAAAAAGGGGTTAAAAATTCGAAATTTTCAAAATTCAAAATTTTGAATTCAAAACATGCTATCTGATGCAGTTTTATCTCAGGATTCCAAAAATGTCTTTTGTTTTGCTCTACGACCCCTATAAGTACCAAAAATTTGAGTTTGAAAAATTAAATTGGATATTTTGTTACTTTTTGCGCCCTCTATAGCAACCAAATATTGAGCTACGGACTTGAAATTTTGCATGCTGATTCTTCTTTTGATGCCCGAGGACAACTTGTCTCATTTTTTTTGAAAAATTCAAATTTTTGAAAAAATCAAATTTTTCTCAAAACTTGGTTTGACATTTTGGACCCCTAAAACTCAAAATTTTGAAAATCCGAGATAGCCATCTTGTAGAAAATTCAATTTTCTATCGTTTGAGCCCTGAAAATTGCAAATTGCTTCATTCATATATCCTACA